GCAGGAACAGAAACGGAGAGCACAGAGAACAATGTTTGTGGTTTTGCTCTGCAGGTTCACATTCAGCCTTCTTTCTTATACCATCCAAGACCACCTGCCTACAGTGGGATGGGCCCTCTCATATCCATTATTAAACAAGAAAGTGCCCCTGGGGTTATTTGAAAGAAAATGGCCCACATAAGCTTATAGGGGGTGGCACTACTAGGAGGTGTGGCCTTGTTGGAGTGGGTGTGGCCTTGTTGGAGGAAGTGTGTCACTTGGGCCCAGCTTTGAGGTCTCATGAAGCTCCAGACAGGCTTAGTGGTTCAGTCTCTTCCTGCTACCTGTGCATCAAGATGTAGAACTCTGAGCTCCTTCTCTAGCACCATGTCTGCCTCCATACCCCATGCTTCCCACCATGGCAATAAAGGACTATACCTCTAAACTGTAAGCTACCCTCTATTAAATGTTTTCTTTTATAAGCATGGCCATGGTGTCTATTCACAGCAATAAAACCCAAACTAAGACACCTCCACAGGTTTGCCTACAGGCCAATCAGATGGAGGTAATTTTCTCAATTGAGGTTCCCATTTCCCAGATGATCATAGCTTGCATCAGGTTGACAAAAAAGGAAACCAGCACAGTAGGGATGGGGGATGTCCTTCTGTATGCTGTGAATACATGTTTCTCTTATTGGTTGATAAATAAAGCTGTTTCAGCCAATTGACAGGCAGAACATAGCCAGGCAGGAAGTATAGGCAGGGTTACCAGAATAGGAGAATACTAGAAAGTGAAACACAGGGAGTGAGTCTTGAGAGAGACACAAAGTAGCTGCTAAGGAAGAAAGAGACCTGGGCTTCACCAGTAAGACAAGGCCACATGGCAATACATAGACTAATAGAAATGGGTTAATAATTAAAAGAGAGATAGCCACTAAGAAACCACAGCCAAACAGTTTATAATTAATATAAGCCTTTGTGTGTTTATTTGGAACTGAAGGGTTATGGGACCAGGCTGGACAGAAACTTCTGTCTACAGTGGGGAATTCCTAGAGGTTGCTAACTAGCCAGCGAGCTCAATCAGTAGACTCCAGGTTCAGTGAGAGATCTTATTTCAAAAAATAGGACGAAGAGTGATAAAAGATACCTCATGTCAATCTCTGGCTTCCATATACATGTTTACACATGTGCACCTGCACATAGAGACACACACAGACTCAAACACACACACACACACTCACACACCTGTCAATCTACCATCATGTCACAAAAGGAGTTTCAGTTGTACAAAGATGATCACAGCAACCTAGGCCCACAGGAAGCTCATTCTATCAACATCTACAACATAGCCTGGCCAGAGGAGAAATCCTCTCAATTAACACATGTTGGGTTGAACTGTATGAAATGGCCATGTTTGCAGGCAAATAATAGCTAACTATCAGCCATTTTCCACCTGAAGATGCTAGAACAGCCGTTTTCAAAGACCCTTTTGAAAGGGATAAAAAGTCCAAATTTACTTTCAAAACAATACCAGAAAATTGTATGTCTTTTTCATCAAGTTAATAGTTGTATTCAAAGTACAAAGGCAGGGGGCTGGAGAGATGGCTCAGAGGTTAAGAGCACTGGCTACTCTTCTAAAAGTCCTGAGTTCAATTCCCAGAAGCCACATGGTGGCTCACAACTACCTGTAATGAGATCTGTTGCCCTCTTCTGGTGTGCAAGCATACATGCAGGCAGAACATTGTATACATAATAAATAAATCTTTTTTAAAAGTGCAAAAGCAGAACTGGAAAGATGATTCAACCAGTGAAGGCACTTGACACCAAGTCTAATAACTGGAGTTCAATCCCCAGAACTCCCATGGTGGCAGGAGAGAACATACTCCTGCAAGTTGTCCCCTGACATCTACATGTGCATGCATGCATATACACACAATAAATCAATGAACAATTACATAAATAAATAAGTAAGTACAATTTTTAAACAAAGTGCAAAAGCAATGGTAAGTTTTTAGTTCATTTTCTGTCACTATTACACAGTTTTAGACCAGGCTAAAGGAGCTGCAATGGGCCTTCTCGCTGGCTGAGTCCCAAGGTAATCCAGGGTATCACAGCAAAGAAAGGGACAGCCTCTGTTGTCCAGATGTTAAAGTCTCTTTCCTGTTTATTTGTTTGTTTGTTTGCTTGCCTGCTTGCTCTTGAGACAGGATCTCACTAATAGCCCAGGCTGGCCTCAAACTCATGCTCTTCTTGCCTCAGCTCCTGGATGTCAGGAACACAGGAATACACTGCCAAGTCCAGCCCTTTCTCCCTCTCATAAAGCCAGCAGTACTCAATCACAGGGCTCCACCCTGATGACTTAGTGCTAATCATCTCCCAAAGGCCCCACCTCTAAATGCCATGGGCTGGGTTAAGAAGTTGGAACAGCATCCTGTCCACACCTCACAATGAAGGTTCAATCCAGTGTGAGTTTCAGATACAGGCAGGTCATCTTTTGTTTGTTTGTTTGTTTGTTTGTTTGTTTGAAAGAGGGTTTCACTCTGTAACAGTCTTGGCTGTCCCGGAACTAGCTCTGTAGACCCACCTGTCCTAGAACTCACAGAGATTTGCCTGCCTCTGAGCCCTCCCCCCCAGTACTAGGATTAAAGGCGTGTGCCACCATGTCTGTCAGGATAGGCCATCTTTACAGCATGCCAAGGAGTCATATTATTTGAAGCTGGGATTCCTTCATTGTCTTCCACTGAAACAACACAGGGCAACAGACAGAATGAAGTAGCACACAATCCAAGGGTATCAAAGAGATTCAAAGAAGTACTAACTGTGCTGTTCTAGAAGTTTTTGTTCCAGAAAGATGTGGTTTTTCAAAAGCATTTTACTTTTATTGAGGCATAAGGTATTTGTGGCTGTACGATGACTTTGGAAATATTTTATTTTATTCTGTTGGGAAGGAAGGGTTTGTGGTGTGTGTGTGTGTGTGTGTGTGTGTGTGTGTGTGTGTGTGTATGTGCAGGAATGAGCATGTTAGTGTGCTTGACTGGGCATACATGTCTGGAAATCAGAAGTGTCTATTTCATGTATTTCCCTACTGAATCGAGAACTTGCCGTTTTGTTTGGACTGGCTAGCCAGGGAACCCCCAGGATTCACCTGTCACCTGTCAGGCCTCCCCAGTACAGAGATTTACAGGCACATGCCACCATACCGCTTACATGGGTGCTGGGTATCTGAACTCAGTTCATGGTTGCACAGAGAGCACTTTACCCCCAGAGTCTTATCACCTTTTTTGGTTTGTTTGTTTGTTTGATTGTTTGTTTGTTTGTTTTGACAATGTCTTACTGTGAAGCCCAAGGAGGCCTCATTCTCACTATGTAGTCCAGACTAACCTCAGACTCTGGGTCTACTGCATCTCCTCCCCACTGCTAAGATTGAAGGCATGTGCCATCATCCCTGTTGTGTGTTCCTTTCTCGTCTAGAAAACAATCATAGGTATAGCCCTTTGTCCTGCCTAGTTTGTTGTCAACACAAGCTAGGGTCTTCTAGGAAAAAGGAACCTCAAACGAGAAAATGTCTCCATCAGATTGGCCTATAGGCAAGTCTGTGGGCATCCTTGAGTAATAATTGCTGTGGGAGGGCCCAGCCCACTGTGGGAGCTACCACCCCAGGGCAGGTGGTCCTGGGTTATATAAGAAAGTAGGCTGAACAAGCCATGGAGTGCAAGCCAGTAAGTTGTGTTCCTCCATGGTCTCTGCTTCATTCTTGCTTCCAGATTCCTGCCCTGGCTTCCTTTGTGATGGACTGGAATATGTAAAATGAAACAAACCTTTCATTCCCAAGTTGCTTTTGGTCATGGTGTTTATTACAGCAATAGAAAACAAACTAAGACACCCATGCAAATATAAACTCTGGGGTCTTAATAGTTTTTATAAGTACAACAGGTGCCTGTGTTGCAAGAACTCCTATATCAGGAGCTTCCATGGGAAGATACACAGGAAATGAAACAGTGTGGTTACTGGAGAGAAAGGGTGACTTTGACCTGGGGAGAGGAGACAGCAGAAGAGTCCAGGAGGCAGGAGGTGTCCTTAGTCCTCTCGCTGTTGTAAAAACCATGGGGAAGTTTAAAAGAAAAGTTTGATTTGGCCTTCAGCTCTGGACCAAGGTCACTGGGTCCTGCACCTGGTGATGTCCTCCTTGTTGGCAGAGTCCTAGAACACTGTTGAAAGTTGGGTGCTCCTGGAGACCTAGTCAAACTGGACACAAAGACACACTCAGTCCAGAGATAACCATTAACCCGTTGACCAAATGGATGAGCTCATCTGTTAAGCTAGTAAATGGGCTATCCCACTCCTCAGAAGGGACTGCTAATAGCCTTCTACAGTGTCACCTCTTTTACTCTCAAAATGGAGGTTCATTGGAAGGGGCAAACCATTTTCAGCCCCTAGCACAGGAGAAGCAGGGGATACTCGAGGCTACACCACAAGCGCGGTGAGTGTGCTCTCTGGGACAGAGCCAGAGACCTAAACCTCTAGGTGCTCTCTCTGTCATCTACCACAGAGGTGGAGGCTATATCCCATAACTAGACAGGTACGAGAATGTTCTGGGAAAACCAACAGCGGGAGCTTTTCTGCAGGGAAATCTCAGCACCAGTAGAAAAGGGCTGCAACAAGTGACTTATCACCATGCCTGTGATGCGCTCCCCCTAGGTGAGCGCGACAGATCCAGGAGTAAGGCAGGATGGAGGGTTTGTGTATGCAGCGGGCAGCGAATGATGGTTATAGAATGGGGACACTCGGAGGAAGAGATTTCTGCACTTGGGTAGGGTATGGAGTCCCCGCGGTGTGTACAGAATGGGACAAGGAGGTGAGAAGTGGCCTGTGGGGACTAACTACTGAGGATGCGGACCTGGAGCCTGTGAGGTGGGACGGGGTTGCTGGGGAGCCTGACGGTGCAGCTGGCCAGGCTAACCCAGGTAGACAGGCTCCGCCCGCGGGCGCTCCCAAGCGGTCCCCGCCCTCCGCGCTCTCTCACTCTCTCCGCCTACAGCGTCCGGGCTCTACAGGTGACCCAGCGCCACAGCCACTCCGACGCCACCACCCTAGCTGCCATCACCGCAGACTCGAGCCGCAACCTAAGCAGGTATGACAGCGACACCACCCCCATCCCCGCGCGCGCACCCGGGTAGGGACTGCAGTTTGGCCCCTGACAGCGGCCAAGAGCCTGCCATCCAGCCTCAGTTTCCCACCGGACGGCGTTGGGCTGTCTGGCTGCCACCTAAGTCGCCACTGAGGAGACGGTGGCACTGGACCCGCTAGGGATGCGAGGAGGATAGGGGAAAGATTCGCTCAGCGAATCGGAGAGAGACCCAACGAAAGTCGTGAGCTTGACACAACTGGAGGGAAGGGCTGAGGTCAAATCCTCACGCGGAATGGGCGGGGCAAACTGTAGTTCAAGAGGTGACAACAGCACAACTGGAGCGCATCACAGGTCGCTACCGAGCAGCTCCGCCAGGTGGGCTCTCCTCTTTCACAGAGAGGAAACTGAGGATGGGGGGCGGGGGCCGCGGGGACCGGGCGCGCACTCCTACAAGGATCTTAGAACAAGGTGCTGCGTGCCGATCAGCGCCCAGGCTTGTGGCCTCGTCTGCCAGACCACCCAACTTTGGGGGACACCGATGTAAAAGACAGTGCTGGGGAGAAACCCAAATCCAGGTCCCAACCTATGCTCTTTCCACCGTTCCGGGATTTTTAGTTAAAGTCTAGAGAATGTCACATGACAATAGATATGCTGAACACAGGACATCAGGAACAGAGTTCATTCCATAAAGGGGAAACCGAGGCAGAAGGTTTAGAGAGGAAACTGCGGTGTTTTCCACTCAGAAGAAATCTCCATCAGCAAGGGTCTTGGGGTCGTTCAGTCTGGTGTGATCCCTGAGTGAGGCTCTGGAGAGTTCCGTGATGGAGCATCTGCTGGCAAGCCAATACAAGGGTCCATCCTCCTTCCTCTCAAACTTTCCAAGTCCTGTTCTCCCTGCTCCCTAAAGGTAACCACTATCTTCAAATGGAGTATTTCTTCTAGACCTTTCTCAATACCTATATAGTCATATATACAAGCCCATAGGAAATACGTAAAATAGTAAGGTTGGTGGGCAGATATGTAATGTTAATTGTAGAAAATCCACCCACACCATTGGGCAATGGTGACTTAATCTCAACCCCACATATTCCTTCTAGAATCATCTGTGTTACTGCACAGACACGCAGCTAACATAAATTACCATTTTGGGGTCAAGTTTGAATTCTTGTTCTTTGTTCTGAACTAATTTCACAGCATATGAATTTGGGGGACAAGGTCCCTTCTTTCCCATTGCATACACAGAAGCCATGTTTGCATACATGCATATATGGACAGCCATGTAAATACAAGTACACATTGACATAAGACAGACTCCAAAGCACACAGACATAGGACAGGCAAGCCCACCTCTGTGCTAGCTATCCGTGGTCAAGGACAAACCCATTTCTCCATACCTGCAGCTTCCACCGAGTCCAAGGGCCAGTAAAGAGCCAGTCTTCAAGCTCTGCCTGTCTGGTGCCCAGTGGGCAGGGATGACACCAAAGACCCCATTAAGGGACTCTCTCCAGTCGCTGCCAGTGTCATTCTCACTGTCTAGTAGGAGGCAAAACGATTAAAAACTGGGGGACTCAGCAGATGGTAGTGTTTGCTGCTCTTCCAGAGGACCCAAGTTCAGTCTTCCTTGAGGACCTCATATGCGGGCTTGTATAGTGTTTGCTCTTTTGTCATCACAGCCTCTGCTTTAAAAACCAAATTCTCATTTAAAAGCTAATACTTGGGCCTGGAGAGGTGGCTCAGTGGACTAAATGCTTCCTGCACAAGCTTGAGGATCTGAGTTCAGATCCCCAGCATTCACATAAAAAGCTGGCCTGGAACTCGATAAATAGACCAGGCGGACCTCAAACTCAGAGATCCTCCTGCCTCTGTTTCCTGAGTGCTGGGATTAAAGGCTGTGTTTGCTTCCTGGATGTTTGTTTGCTTGTTTGCTTTTGGTTTTTCAAGGTTTTGTAATCCTGGATGTTCTGGAATTTACTCTGTAGACCAGGCTGGCCTCCAACTCAGACATTCACCTGCCTCTGCCTCCTGAGTGTTGGTATTTAAGCAAGGAGTGTTCTAGGCAGGGTTTCTCTGTGTAACAGCTTTGGCTGGCCTGGAACTGCTCTGTAGATGGGCTGGTCTGGGACTCACAGAGATCCACCTGCCTCTGCTGGGATTAAAGACATGCACTACCACCACCCTGCTGCCTAAGGCTGTTTCCTATATGTGGACTTCCTTTCTCACTCTGTCACCAGAAGAACTCCTGTACATCCTTCAAAACCTACCTTAGAGGTTTCCCTCTCCTTTGTGCCTTTCCTTGAAATGTTGTCACAGAGTTAACACCTCCATTATCAGAATACCGAGGTTGTATTTACAGCAATCCAGGCAGTAATGGAGTGGTTTAAGGTATTGACTCATGTAATACCTGAAGCAACCCTTCATCACCTCTGTTCTCTTCACAGGGAAATAGTCACAAAAGAGCCAAGTCAGAGACCCAACATGACACAGTTTATCTAAATCACCTGGGAGACAGACATGGCTTTGGAGTCCTGTTGTTACTTTCCATTGTGCTATTCTTGGAGAACAGGGGGTGGCCTCCAGGGGACTGTGAGATAGTAGAGGTTCCCACCCGGTCTAAAGGGAAACTGACTAGCTCTGGATGCTTAAAATCTCAGGACTAACCTACAATTTTGAAGATTGATTTTTTTAAAATTATGTGTGTCTATGTCTGTGTGTGGGTAAGTACATATGAGTACTGGTGGCCAAGGAGACCAGAGGTGTCAGATGCCTGGAGATGGAGTTACATACAGGTGGTGTGAACCACCTGAAATGGTGCTGGCAACCAAAGTCAGGCCCTCTGCAAGAGAAGCAATTCCTGCTCTTCACAGCAAAGCCATCGCTCCAGACCAGCTAGCCCACACCTTTATAAGGATGGGGAGAGGGCTCAGTGGGTAAAACACTTGCTGTGTAGATCAGAGGTTGCAACCCAGAGCCTGCATGACAGACAGTGTGGAGGCCATCCCAGTGCTCAAGGGAAGGGACAGAATCCTGGGGCAAGCGCACTATCTAGACTGGCCAGATCAGCAAGAGCCCCAGGTTCAGTGAGAGACTCTGCCTCAGTAAGAAAAGTGGACAGATTGGAGGAAGACACCAGACATGAGGCTCTGACTCCATGCACAAACACATAGGCTTGCATTATCACACAAGGGCAAGTGAACACACACACACACACACACACACACACACACACACACAGTCTTACCTCCTATTCAATGCTCAGGACTCTGGCTATCCTTGAGGTGTGGAAGAAGTCCTAAGTGGTAGCTCAATGCTGCCTCCAACACAGGACCATCTTAGGGTCTCCCTGCCCAGAAGAAGACTTTCCGAATTTTATTCGCATCATCCTACTCAACAGTTTGGAAAGACTATTATCACTAAGCCCATCTGACAGATGTGAAAACTGTGGCTCAGAGACAGGAGTGGACTTGCCTGACCTGAGAAGTAGTAAAACTGTAATTGAAACAAAATGCTTTTAGCATTTTGTTAGCCTGGCTATTATCAAACATTCCAACAAATGCTTTGTTTGTTTCCTTGTTTGTTTGCTTGTTTATTTATTTTGGTCTTTTGAAACAATCTTTCTATGGATCCCTGGCTGACTTAGCATTTGCTATGCAGCCAAGGCTGCCTTGAACCTGTAGTTCACTTGCGTCTCTTAAGCTCTGGGATTACTGGAGTGTACTACCACCCCATGCTCCAGCAAGCTTTTGATGATTCTATTATACCTTTGAGGATGGACATAATTTTCTTACGCTGTTATCTGGACCCAGAAAGTGTGGGGCATAGCACCAGGAGACTGGGCACTGGGCTTAAGAACTCATGGTTCTTAAATTTATGTGTCTCTGTGTTTGTGTCCTGTGTGTGAGTATACTCAGAGGCAGGCAGAGGGTGGCAGATTCTCTAAAGCTAGTTCTAGGTGGTTGTGAACTCCTTGACACCGGTGCTGGGAACTGCATGTCCAAGACCTTAGGTTTGATCCTCAGCAAGACATGCACATGCTCGCACACAGAAACAACAAAATAGGAGCATCAACTTCAGCTGTGCTGGGTTCCAGTCTTGGTTCTGGCACTTGTGGACCCAACTGAGTGACTCTCCATGCTTCATTTTCCCACCCGCAAAATGGAGCAGCCAAAGTGCTGGCCTCATAGGCCCTGTACAAACATTAAGTCATTTTGTGCACACACAGGACTCTGCTGCCTGGGGCCATCACAGGTCAGGCTCAGGGGAAGAGGTTGGCTAAAACCAGCAAATGGAGTCGGATCCTAAGACTTCAGGTTTAAGTTCTACACAACGAAGAGGACCCATTTGATGCCTAGAACCCATGTGAAAAGGATGAGGATGGTGACACACATTTGCAAACCAACCCTGAGGAGGTGGAGACAGGACGATCCCTGGAGCTCACTGGCCAAAAAATCTCAAAAAACATCAAAGTGGTCCACTCCTAAGAAGCTACTCAAAGTTGACTTGGCCTAGACACACACACACACACAGACATGGTGGAGGGAGGGATAAAGCCTGTATTTTCTGTTATCACTGACTTTGAACAGATTAGAAATTTTGATTTTATATGCCAAGTACAAAATGTTGAGTCAGGTAAGCTCTTTCTGGCTGGTAAGAAACCCAAGCTGCTGTGATTCTTGACCTTGGCTTGTTATCTTATCCCGCAGATTGCAGAGATTCGAATCCAACCAGGCCAGTTTAGGGACTATGCAACCCAGGCAAGCCCCATAACCTCTGTGTCTCGGGTCATGTACTGGAAATAAAGATCTCCCTTCAAGATGGACACTCTGAGAGTTAAGGGGGGAAGCAGTTACCACAGTGCCTGGCCCACAATAAATCCAAATCTGAATACACGGCTGTTGTGAAACTAGATCTGAAATGACCTAAAAGCCTTACAAGTTGTGTTTTGAGAGATGTTATTCTTTGTTTCCGTTTATTACAGTTATGTTTTTATTTTGTCAGTGAGTGTA